TTTGCTGAAAAAAAGCATCTTTTTTTTCAACAGATCTCGCAAGACCTCTCATTTTAGAAACAAGATCTTGCTGGAGACACTGGTGACCTTGCCATCCTAGAATGCCCCTGTTAGGCCTTGGCTATGTCACCAGTTCCTCAGAGAAACCAGGAAGTGAGACAAGATAGGCTAATTTTATTTACAATATGTTTATAATGCATGCATTGTGTGTTTTAAAATTTAGCGTGCAGAGCTGCATGCCTTTTAGAGAGCTAGTTCCACTTTAATATTTCCTGAGACTTGCAGATGCGTATGGTGATTAAAGTGTTACTAAACCCACAACAGTAAAAATCAGTCTTATATACAGTAAAGCATGCTTGTTATACTCACTGTGGACCCTAATGGGTTAATCCTCTGCATTGTGTAAAAAGGTTGTTTGATCCTTTCTTCTCTGTTCCTCCCCTTTTTCAAGTGACCACCACGTATCTCCAGACTGAACCATAGGCATGCACATGCTCAATTTGGTGTGTATTGCTAGAGAGGTTTTTTTTTTTTTGGGGGGGGGAGTGCATGTGATCAGCACAGGGCCAATCACCACTGTCCAGACCAGGGGGCGGACTGACAACTCATGGGGCCCCAGGGCAATAGGGGATCATGGGGCCCCTGTATCCTTGCCCACACTCAAAGCACACCCAAAAAGCCTATAAAAAGGGTGCCAGGAGCATTTCATGGGGCCCCCTACTAACACCGGGCCCTCGGGCAGTGCCCGAGTTCTTGATTGGTCAGTCCGCCCCACCAGGGGCATCTCATGGGGCCCCCTACTGACCCCGGGCCCTCAGGAAGTGCCCAAGTTTCCAAATGGTCAGTCCACCCCTGGTCCAGACAGAGGACAGGGGATTTGTATCCTCCCAGAGCAGAAAGAAAACTCCTCCTACAAGCTTTAGCTAGTGCTGGACTAGAAACAGATAGAAGCCACAAGACTGCTCTAACTTCTGATGAGAAAAGGTATTTAGCAGTTTTTATATTTACTAAAATAATTGCACTTCTGTGTACTGTGGGAGACCAGATACAGTGGATGCAGAGTCCGGGGTTTAGTAACACTTTAACTAGAGAAATAAGCATTATATTCTTACAGTGTTCAGTTACTTTCAATATAAGGCCCTACTCAACTGATATGGTACAGAAAATTGTCAAAGAAAAAGGTGTGTCAAGGGTTGAGTGCCTATAGGTTCTAGTTATATAATTCTGGACACAGAAAAAACCATACTATAACCTACTGTAATTAATCAGATACTATCATTTTTTGATGTTCTGAAAAAAATTAAAGCATAGCCAGTATAATGGGCACCAACAGAATGATTTCAATACATAAGTCATAGATTATGATTCAGTCTCTCTCTCTTTCTCATTATATGTTTTATATTATGTTTTATAATTGCCTGCTGTGGGATTAGCTGATACATGTAAGGTATAACAAACCATCCACTTCTCAAAACCCTCAAACCTAATTGAGATATCCAATGGCTGGCTTCAAATTATACTACTTATCTCTCCTTTTTTACTTTGATTTGCCAATTATCATGGTGTAACAAGACTCTAAAAGAACATGAATGAAATGGTTTTGAGAAATCAGAGTGCTGTTGCTAATACGCAGAACAATTAACAGAATTAGCAAAAGATCCTATAATCTCCTCCATTCCAGAGGGCTTTCATATTTCCCTTCACTGGAACCAAATTTAATATCAGCGGTAAAGCTTCCCCTTGTGCATAAGATTTTGTTTTAATGGGCCTTAAATATACATAAAAACCCAAACATAAAATATTCATAAAAGACTTCTGCTTATCATTTGAAAAAAGTGCACAATATTTGTATGTCATTTAAATATGTTAAGATGAATATGCATTCATAATGTGCATAATTATGAAAAATATAAAATTTCACTAGTGTAAGGTTCAAGAATTACTTTTTGTGAACTAATAAATCTCACTAAAAATGTTAAGAACATTGTACTGCACTCCCTGAAACACAAGAAACAAAGATGCATGCTCTACAGCATTAACAGAATAAACACTTTCCAAAAAATTTTTGTCTGAACCCCAAAACAGCTAGAGGGGTTATGTTGCTTATGACAAGGGCTGGCAAGCTGCACTGGCACTATTAGTGTAGCTGACTTTTTTTTGTGAGGGTCAGTAACTCTGCACAGAAGAGCTGCTTAGCACTGTGCAGTCATATACACTATTACTTGGGAGAATAGAAGAAGATAAACATTCTACCAAAATGTAATATAAAAAATGTAAGATAAAGATAACATTGGTTATGGTGAGAAAGGAACCAAAAAGTCCTCCACTAAATTAGTGCATAGCAATAGAGCCTTCTTAGGACAGAAAGTACTCATGTCTCATTTCCGTCGCATAATCATGTGCATACCTTGTGTTCTGAGGCTAGCCTTACATGACTTGAATTTTATCCAATTTCTGCAGAATTGGCTGACTGAAAATGGAGCCATGGGTGCCCCTAACAGCACCATCCGGCTCAACAAACTTTAACTGAAAAATCAAAAGAGCCAAGGGGAAAAGTGTTGGCCGGACAGCATCTGCATCCATCCAGACACTGGCGTGACTGTCTGAATACAACATCCAGCGGTGTTGATTGCTCCATCTACACTGTTTAGAGAATAAGAGAATGTTATAAGTGTGTGGCTAGGATTAGACGGCTTTACTGTGCTAAAATAAAAATAAACAGCATTAATAACTAAAAGAGTACAATATAAGTAGAATCAGGAACCACTCAGAATCCATATAGTACTTGAGTGACTTTAATAAAGTGAATTGTGATTGGTCACTTTGGGTTACTGCATTTTGAAAAAAACTTAAATAGCCGCAGACGTGGTCACAAGATGGTTACATATAGGCTAATGTGCAGTATATTAAAAAATAATACCATTTGCTTTTTTCAGACAAAGATGTAAAATGTGTCAATATTTGACTACAATCTGTTTCAATTGTTGCCATTTTGAGCCATATTGCATAAGCATCTGAACTGGCTTGCTATCGTTGGGCATTTAAATGTCATAACAATTCAATAGTGCAATATGGGAAGTCTGTTTGGTAGTGTGAGACTATGTTGTCATTTTTTTTTTACTGTGGTTGTGGCTGAGTGGACATACACTATATTGCCAAAAGTATTGGGACACACCTCAAAATCATTGGATTCAGGTGTTCCAATCACCTCCATGGCCACATGCTCAGTGAATTCAAGTGTGGTACCATGAGAGGTTGCCACCTGTGCATCCTTGAAATTTCCTCGCTACTAAATATTCCATGGTCAACTGTTAGTGGTGTTTTAACAAAATGGAAGCAACTGAGAACAACAGCAACTCAGGCATAAAGTGGTAGACCACGTAAAATGGCAGAAGCTGAAGTGCACAGTGCTCAGAAGTTGCCAACTGTCTGCAGAGTCAATAGCTAAAGACCTCCAAACTTCATGTGACCTTCAGATTAGCACAACAACAGTGTGTAGAGAGCTTCATGGAATGGGTTTTGATGGCTGAGCAGCTGCATCCAAGCCTTACATCACCAAATGCAATGCAAAGCGTCAGATGCAGTGGTGTAAAGCACGACTCCACTGCACTCTAGAGCAGTGGAGATGTATTCTCTGGAGTGATCAATCACAATTCTCTGGCAATCGGATGGACGTGTTGGGTTTGGCGGTTATCAGGAAAACGGTACTTGCTTGACTGCATTGTGCCAAGTGTAAAGTTTGGTGGATGGGGATTATGGTGTGGGGTTGTTTTTCAGATGTTGGACCTGGCCTCTTAGTTCCAGTGAAGGGAACTTTTGATGTGTCAGCATACCAAGACATTTTGGACAATTTCATGCTCCCAACTTTGTGAGAACAGTTTGGGGATGGCCCCTGTGACGGGGGCGGCGTCAGACCCCAGCCCTTCTCACCAACTTGTGACCGAAGGACTAGCCAATCTAAAACCGCGCTGCCACTTACGTAACAATGCCACTCTCAGCTGCACCCTACACAGAGATTTTCCAGCTCACTGGACCACAATCTATGTGTCAACAGCCTCAGAGTGATTGGTACTGGGTCAGGTTAATTACGCAATTAACCCTTCACACTGCCACCACCACCTTTTTACAGAAAGGAGGAAACTCACAAATCTTAGCAGTAACACTATGATGTTTGAATAAGCATCTGTATACACACTGTCACCTCAGACAGATGCATCCAAAGGTTTTAAAACACACAGTAGTACTCTTCAGAGACAGGGATTCTTAGTTTGCATTAAAGAGCTTTAGAAACAATTCAACACTTTTCAGAAATAGGATTTATTACGAAAGAGGTCAAAATGGTGCAATAAAAATATTTGCAGAAAAGATGTATATATATATAAATAGAGAGAGCAATAACACAACAGAGAGATAACTGAAAGAAATTTAACCACTAGCCTACAGGGCACTTATACCCCCTTCCTGCCCAGGCCAATTTACAGCTTTCAGCGCTGTCGCACTTTGAATGACAATTGCACGGTCATACAACACTGTACCCATATGAAATGTTTATAATTTTTTTGTGAAAGAGCTTTATTTTGGTGGTATTTAATCACCTCTGGGTTTTTTATTTTTTCTCAAACCAAAAACCACTGAAAATTTTGAAAAAAAAAAGTTTTTTCTTAGTTTTTGTTATAAAATTTTGTGAAGTGATTTATCTCCTTCACTGATGTGCACTAATGAGGGTGCAGTGATGGGCACTGATAGGCTGCACTGATGGACACTGATAGGTGGCACTGATGAGGAGGCACTGGTAGGTGGCACTGATGGGCATTGACAGACATCATTGATGGGCACTGAAAGGCAGCACTCATATATGGCACTGATAGGTGGCACTGACTGGCATTGATAGGCGGCACTGACTGGCACTGTTAGGTGGCACTGACTGGCACTGTTAGGCGGCACTGGTAGGCATCACTGACGGGCACTGATAGGCGGCACTGATGCACACTGATAGGCGGCACTGACTGGCACTGTTAGGCGGCACTGACTGGCACTGATAGGTGGCACTGACTGGCATTGATAGGTGGCACTGACTGGCACTGATGGGTGAAACTGAAAGGCAGCTCAGATGGGCACTGATATGTGGCATTGATGTGGCACTGATGGGCACTGGCAGGTGGCATGAATGAGCACTGAGAGCTGGCACTGATGGACACTGGCAGGTGGCGCTGTTGGGGCTACACAGATCATCAGGGCACACTGATCATCAGTGCTCTTATGATCTGTGTACATGTCCCCTCAGAGGAATGCCGATTACTGGCTCTCCTCTCCTCACGAGCTGTCAGCATGACAGCTCGTGGGGAGAGATATGCAGATAACCGGCATTTCCCTGTTTACATGTGATCAGCTCTGATTGGACACAGCTGATCACATGACCGAGCTTACATCTTCGGCTCTTTCCGCGGATCGGAGATCCACTGTGTCCGAGGGACACAGCGCACCGCCGATCGTTGCGCTGCATGCTCTGGGAGCCGCGCATGTGCGGTGAGAATGGAAGGATGTCATAAGGCTTCCTCCCAGAACAAGAGAACCACCTTGTGTCCGTCATATTACTATATGGCGGGCAGGAGGCGGTTAAGAAGGTAGAATACTTGCAGATGTCCTGGTTTAAGCAGAGTCCAAGTGTCCTGAACAAAAGGGTGCCTTTTCTCCCAAAGTTGGTTCCTGATGTTAAAAGGGAGAATCTCTTCATCAACTCTCTCCAGGCATGACAGCCTGTTTTCTAGGAACCCAGCAGGGGGTGTCTACTGAAGCCAAGGGCCAATCGCCTCATTTGGGGAGGGGGTTTAGGCGGAGACCCAGGTTAGGACCAAATCCCTCACAAGTTTATATCATGGTCAATAACCTTCCACAGGTACATGCAGCAGCCTAGCCACTGACAGGTTAATATGCAGAATAATATTCTGAACGTCCAGACACAAAATATGACATATCCGGCTGTGACAGATAACAAGATGTCGCTTTCTACTCTCTGGTAGACGTTATCTGGGATGTAAGGTATCAGGTGACTCATATTAAACTGACCTATCTGAATATATGCTTTGTTTTATTGTACCTTGTTCCTGCCGGGATTTATGAAATTGTATGAAAAAGTGGGTTCAAGTGGGATGTATGTTGTACTGCCACTCTGGAATGCTTTCATGTCCAGTGACTGACTGGTTTATAGCTTTACGACCAGGCCAAGGCAAGGGTCTGACAGACATCATGGAACCAGCTAATTGGGTTTACAACCATGAAGTGTATCCAACTGTGCCCGATGCCCTTCTGACCCCAGCATACACACACACCACATGCCATTCAAAAAAAAGGGAAGGGGACTGATTTGGAGTGAGAATTACATTTTCAGAGTATGATCCAAATTATGGTTGTCATTGTCCATATCTGTGCGCACAATTATCACAGCCCCTTCCTGTTCCTACATCACTGTGCACCAGTGCACAAAGCAAGGTCCATAAAGACATGGATGAGCGAGTTTGGGGTGGAGGAACTTGACTGGCCTGCGCAGAGTCCTGACCTCAACCCAATAGAATACCTTTGGGATGAATTAGAGCAGAGACTGCAAGCCAGGCCTTCTTGTCCGAAATCAGTGCCTGACCTCACAAATGTGCTTCTGGAAGAATGGTCAAACATTCCTATAGACACACTCCTAAACCTTGTGGACAGTCTTTTCAGAAAAGTTGAAGCTGTTGGTTCGTAGGGTTCAATATTAAGTTGGCCCACCTTTTGAGGCTGTAAGACTGGGATGCCATTAAAGTTCATGTGCGTATAAAGGCAGGCTTCCAATTTTAGCAATATAGTTTATATTTATTCATTCATTATTATCAAATTTTGGCATTATAAAGTATTAATTTTTGATATACCGCATATTAGCCTATTTGTAACTGTCTTGTGACTAACAGAGTTTTTGTAAGTCTATGTGATTGCTGGCCAGCTCCCATTTTGGACGAGCTGGTCTAATTATGTAGTTAGAATAGGATTATTTAGAGAATACAGTGCAACAATCAGGACTATGTAATGTATAACACACTCTGAAAGTGCAACAGAGTGCAGGGGTCAGGGCTATGTAATTGCATAGCACAGTTTGTAGATTGCAGTGGTCAGGAGTTACGTGTCCCCTTATATTGGGGGTGAGTGTGCTACCTTCACAGAGCATTCCCCTGTACAGTGGTGATCGGTTTGGCTCCTTACACTGGTGGTCACTGTACTTCTTACACTATTTGTCAGCATATCCCCTTACACTGGTGTTCAGTGTATCCTCTTACACTGGTGGTCAGTGTATCCCCTTACACTGGTGTCAGTGTATCCCCACTGTATCCCCTTACACTGGTGGTCAGTTCAGTGTGCTTCCTTACATTGTGATCAGTGTGTCCTCTTATGGTGGCACTCAATGTGCCCCCTTACAGCTGGCACTGGTAAGATTTAGTGATATAGCCAATATATATATATATATATATATATATATATAATATATTAATTTTTTTGTTTTTGCTTTGCTAGAGCACACAGGAGGAGCACTTCTTATTGCTTTTGTTGAGCAGTCTGTAGTGAGTAAGATGACAAGCTAAGGAGTTGACCGATTCCGTTGCTTGTACTTAACAGACATAGTCAAGCACTTAAGCTCACCTCGGCCAATATTGTATGTGTAATCCTTACATGTGGGACTCAAGTGGTAAATTTTACATTTGAAGTTTGCATCCATTTCTTCCTTTCAGCTTATTAGTAGTGCTATATGCCTGCTTTAGGGCCAGGTTGGGTTAATTGGCAATATGTTAGTTTGGAGACAAAAATGGAGGAACTGACCCACACATTGGAAGGACAAACTCAATGTCCTTATCAGGAATCAAATTGCAAGGTAAGAGAGTTAACTAATTGTATTGTAGCAGGACCCTCTTAGGAGTCCCTAGAGAATTGGGTCCCCCTATAGTCCTGCACAGCCAGTCAACACGCATTTTCTTCCAGCCTTGCACTCCAGAGACAGTAAACCATCCTTGAACTTGTTTTTTTGGATTAGGGGTATGAAACTTGAATGGGGATGAGGGATACCTGGGAAGCCCAAGGAACTGTTAACTGAGGACAACTTCCTGCATCTATGTACAAGTACACAGAAGGGTTTTCTCTTCCTGGATACCAATCCAGCCTCTCCTGGCGTATCACCTCAGACCCCAGATGAAATGTCCTCTTCACCCAGCTGCCTGAGGGAATCCCTGGGCAAGGATACCCAGAAGCTCCCATCTTAAATGAAAGCAGTCCCAGATGGGGACTAGTCAGGTTTTCCATCCCAATGCCCTTTCCCTTATCCAGTCCAGGGGGTGTGGGGTTACTTACTTGGTCTTTCCTGTAAGCTTGTGGTTTGTGACTGCCTTCAGGTCTTACCCTGGGCTGGCTTGTTCACTGCTTCCCAGACTGTCCTCTCTCTGGGGATGATGAGGCTGAGAGATTATCCCTTCCAGCTCCTCCATCTGTAGGTAGGCCGCTCTCCTGGTTCCCCTCCAAGGTTCCACACACCATCCTGCTCACTCCATTTTCTACCCAAACTCTCATGCTGCTGAGCAGGCTTGGTCAATCTTAAGGGCTGTCCTTACCCCATGCCAAACTTCCTGCTTGGGGATTGGTCAGGATCCTCTAAGAGTGCTGACCAGCCACTCCTCACCCCCATCCACTGAATTCTCCAAGTCTATAGTTCAGGGGGAGGTATCAGAGAGTTGATCTGACCCCTCTGACTATTAATCCCTGGCTGCTACTCAGCCTTTATCTAAAAAAAAATTGACTTAGATCCCCCTAGCTACCTAGGAGGGTGCTAAAGTAGCAACTCCTAATCAAATGCACCTTGTATTGTGTTGTCACTTGATAACTAATTTGATATCTAAAGTGATAACTGTATTTAATGTACTCTACTGTATGCAGGAATGTTTCCCCAAGATTTCAGATTTTATGGCTTTAAACTGTCCAATAGATCTGATGGCTACAAATGAGAATATAGAACATTATGCTCATCATGGAAAAACCAAAAAGGATCAACGCAATGGATAGATGGAACAAGTAGGATGGGCGGCTGCTAACACTTAACACAAACCCAGTGAAAATGTGTACACAAAATATATAAATAGATAGTGTAGCACTGCTTAATATAAAAAAAAAAAAATAAAAATAATATTATATATTTATATATATATATATTGCGACATGGGGGGTGATTAGCTCTAGTGGTAGACGTTTTCCAAGTGAGTCCACACTAGTCAGAAACTCTTTTTCAGTGCTTGGTAGCCCACTTTTATTAAAAGGCAAGAAACAAAATCACCAAAGGTCCAAAATAAGCTTTCCCACGCAGGGGTTCTTCTCCATTGGTAAATACAAATGAAAAGTTACCAAGCCTCCAGGCTACTCCTTATCAGCAGTGCTGGTTAGCAGTACCTCTGCTAATATGGGTCTTCCAGACCACTGGCTAGTCCCAGCACACAGCGTTGGACTCCTTGAACGCACACAGCCTTAAAAGTCCTTTAACACACACAGCATCTGTCTCACACCGAGACACTCAATGGCAGCCACTCCACTCCCCCACTGCAACTCTAAGCAGACCATCATTATAAGGGCTGTGAGCACCTGGGCCCTACACCCTGCTGGTTGACTACAAACTCTGGACACTGGATTGGAGATTTCCTCCCTCCCAAGGCACTTTGAAATCTCCAAACTACAGAGCCCCATCCAGAAATATTAAAATCCAGAGAAACCTGCAACAGCAGTTTTCTCCACTCAAAATCTACACTCCGCAGTTCTGCACTCTGCACATGTGCAGACCCTGTGTCCAATACCAGACCACTTCTACCTGTTTTTATCCTGTGACAGGGACCTGCACTGTTACTATATATATATATATATATATATATATATATATATATATATATATATATATACAGTATACTGTATGTGACATGCTAAACTGACCAATAGATCTGATGACTACAAATTTATGGGACATTATGCCTATGGAAGCCTGCCTTCCTCTCCAAGCTCTGCCTCCTCGCCAGTGATTGGTAGTTCAGGGAAAGCACACAGGAGGAGCCGAGCAGCAGCAGGAAGATTGAAGAAGCTGATCGGAGTGAGTGACTGGCCGGAGCTGGTGAAGAGGAGGAGAGTAGCCGGAGAAAGAAGACAGCTGATCGGTAAGGAAAGTGTCTGCGCTGGGTCCGTGCGGCATGGATCTGGGCAGAGCAGACGGTGTTGCTGCAGCCAGGTATGCTGGCTGTGGATGGGAGAGGGAGCGAGCCTGGGCTGGAGCAGGGGTCAACAATGTAAGCATCATTGGTGTCAGTGGAAGGAATAGTGCCCCATCATTAGTGTCCGTGTGGGAGGAATAGTGCCCCATCATTGGTGTCACTGA